TTATTATAATCATTTTATTTTGTAGAATCTAAGCTCCTTTGCTCCCCAACTCTCTATTATCATCAACTACCAAAATAATTTGGAATTTAGATGAATGCAGATATTTTCCTGCTCCACTCCTGTTTCAAGTGTCCGTAATAGTTTAGAGAAAAACAAATATCCACACTGTCTCATTTTGCTTTTATGGTATGAAACCACAAGTGGAGCCTCTCTGCTTCCAGAGAACAATTCCCCATTCCCCTACTGGACACATTCTCCCATTCTGTGAGTTGACTATTCCACACCTTATGCCTCAAAGATCCAGCACAGCTTTAGTATTCCTCATTCAAAGCTGACATCCTTCCTTCTTCATTCACTGGGAGAATGGAGGCCATTAGAAGAGAGTATGCACATTCTTCCACCACCAAATCTAAAAACCTACTTGCCTCTGTGCTAAATGTTTTGTCTTTCCTTCTGTCCCAATTCCTCTACCTGTGCATTGAATCCTATTCCCTCCCTTGAATAGGATTCTATTTCTCCTGCATCCCTTACTACTAAGTCATTGTCACAAGTATAAAACATCCTGTGATAATCCAGAGTAAAAAAAGTTCTGTTGACTCCATTCCCCACTGTAACTATCACTCCAGTTCTTTTCTCCCCTGTGCAGCAAAATCTGCTATAAGAGTTGTCTCTACCCACTGTCTCCACTTCTTCCCTCTCATTTCTTTTCCCATATGAATTTGAGGTTTGGCTTTTCTACTTCTGAAAAAAGAGACTGCTGGAATCTGGATAGGGATTGCACTGAATCTGTAGAGCACTTTGGGTAGTAGGGACATATTAACAATTTTAAGTCTTCTAATCCATTGACATGGGATGTCTTTCCACTTATTCGTTTGTGTCTTCTTTAATTTCTTACATCAATGTTTTATAGTTTTCTTTGTATATGTCTTTTAGCTCCTTGGTTAACTTTATTCTTAAGTATTTTATTCTTTTTGATGTTGTTGTAAAGGGTATTGTTTTCTTAATTTCCTGTTTGAATAGATTGTTGTTAGCGACCTTGATACTAAATCCAGACAGAGACACTATAAGAGAGGAAAACTATAGGTCAGTATTCCTGGTGGATATAGATGAAAAATCTTCCACAAAAAACTAGCAAGTCAAATTCAACAACACTTTAAAAGAATCTTACACCATTACCATCTGGGGTTTATCCCTGGGATGCAAGGATGGCTCAACATAAGGAAATCAATCAATGTTACACGCCATATTAATAGAATGAAGGATAAAAATCACAAGATCATCACAATAGATGCAAAAAAACTAGTTGACAAAATTCAATACTTTTTCACGATAAAACAAACTAAGTATAGAAGGAATTTGCCTCAATTTAATAAAGGCCATATATGAAAAGCCCACATCTAAATCATACTCAACAGTGAGAACCTGAAAGCTTTTCCTCTAAGATAAGGAAAAAGGCAAGGATGACCACTCTAGACACCTTGATTCAGCACAGTACTGGAACTCCTAGACAGAGAAATTAGGTAAGAAAAAAATAAATAAAAGATATTCAAATTGGAAAGGAAGAAGTAAAATTACTGTTTCCAATGACATGATCTTACATAGAGAAAACCAGAGACTTCACACAAAGAAAACCTTTAGAACTAATAAATTCGGTAAAGTTATAGGACACAAAAGTCTACCCTTACATGACTCAGTGGGAAGTACCAGCAGATGAGCAGAGGGAGGAGAATAAATTTGGGGAATTCGTTTCCCTGGCTTCTGTTCCTATCTATTCTGGGTTGCCTGAGGGATGGTACTGATAGCTCCTGCCAGGTCAAACTCTCCATGCTGCTCTGTCTCAGGTTTTTGATAACTGCTCTCTCCTCTATCCCTTTAGGCCTAGGGGTATAGTATCTTCCTGTTCATCATCATCCTGAGGTCCTGATCTTTCCCTCATCATTTCCAACAGCTTTCCCTCACCTTTGTAAAAAGTCTGCTTATTGAACTGCTTCAAACTGCCAAAGTGATACGTGTTTTTTGCCAGTAGCCCGACTATCCCACCTCACCCTCACATTAAACTCAACAGTAAATGCTCTAATTTCCACTTTCAAAATATATTCCACACCTAACGACACCACCTGCACTATCCTCACCCTAATTTAAGCCACTTTAATTTCTTATCTGGATTAGAGCAATAGTTCACTACTTCTGCCTTCTCTTCCCACCCCATTCTATTCTCCACCCAGCAGCCAGTATCATCTTTTAAAAAAGTCACTTAGATATTGCCATTTTCCTGCTCACAAGCTTCCATAGAATGAAATAAAAATGAAAATCCTTTATGATGGCCAACAAGGCTCTGTTTAGCTGGCCTTTTTCTTCTTCCATTCCCATTTCCTGACATCCTCTTAATGCTTATTTCCATTGTTTCAGTCATAGTGACCTCCTTACAGTTCCATGAACACATAGTGTGCTACTATTTTAGAGCATTTGCACTCAGTGTCAGTCTATAGGGAATGTTCTTATCCTAGGTATTTGCATGCTCCATTTCTCTTTTCATTCAGCCCTCTACTTAAATCATCCCACAGAGGAGTCCTTTCCTGAATGCACTATCTAAAAGAACAACTTCCAGTCCACATCTACTTGCAAACCTTTATTTATGTCCATATATTCATCACTGCCTCATATGTATTATCTGTGTACTGACTTGTCTATTGTCCCATTTTTCCACGATATGATACACTCCATGAGTTAAGGGATTACTAGTTTTATTCACCACTGTATAATCAAGTCATAGAAAAGTACATGGTACACAGAAATGCTGAATAGATTTTTGCTGAATGAATGAATGAATGAATAGGAATGGAAATAAACCAAATGAATCAATTGAATTAAGAGCAAACTTAAATAAAAAGCCAATTCATAGTCAAAGTTTGCTTAGTAAACACATAGAAAAAAAAGTCAGATTAATACATTAACATCAGGTTAAAATGACCTGATTCAGCTCCAAACACTGGAACTGTTCCTTGCAAGGGGACAAAATAATTAATAAGGCTTCCTCCCCTGGACAATGCCAGGATGGTCATTCTAGGGTTTGAAGCTCTAGTTTTCCTGATTTTGCGCTCCATAGCTGAATAAGACCCCTTGATAAGGAACATTATATCTCTTTTTAAAAAACTATTATGCAATGTATTACACATAGAAAAGGGCACATAACTGTATATGCCAGGCAATAAATAATAAAAAGAGTAACAACATACCTATATATTCAGGGCAAACTATAAATATTACCAAGAATTTTTGGCACTTCCTCTCTACCAAATTTTAATTTCCTCCTCTCCCCCAAAACTAATAATTATCCTGAATTTTGAGTCATTTACCTCCTTGACTTTTTAAATAGCATTATTACATATGAAAACTATAAAGATCTACATAAAAATGAAATTATTAACTACTCTCTCTCCCTTATGTTTTCAGACATCATTGTGCTTTTGAGATTCATTCATGTTCATGTATTTAATTTTAATTCATTGATCCTGACTTGAACATTATTCCATTACAGCAATATATGCTAACTTACTTATCCACCTTACTCTTGATGGACTTTGAAGTGTTTTCCAGGCTGCTGTGATAGTTTTTATAAATTGCTATGAATATTCTTTTATGTGTCTTCCCATTACTATTGGCCTTGGAACCATTCTCTCTCTTTAGAAGACTTTATACTTCCATGTTAATCAATTTGCATTGATCTTACAATTACTCTGAGGGAAATCTTGTTTTCCTCATTTTGGCAATCTTAGTCAGCAGTTTACTGTAGTCCTTCAAAAATTTCCTGACATCACCTCGGATAATTCATTTAGAGAAGCTCAGAAGTTAACACAGCAGTGCCAATTAGCTGTCTCTGAAGAGCTGTTTTCTGTTCCTAAAAGCCCTCCCTAAAAAAACCTCTGACATATTTTGGGAGATATTGTGCTGATGTCCCCCAAGTATCTCAAATTGAATTAACTTTAAATAAATACATAGAATCTTTGCTGGAAAAAGAAAAAGGTTATGTTTCTATCTCAAATTGGTGAAGCAGTTATTCATTTCAATGTCATTAAATTGACCAGTTGATTTCAGCCTTGATTACACTGAGGGACTGACTAAATTACTCTTCTCACTAAGAAAGCCTCCCCCATGTAAGAAATACAATAACATCTGGGATTTGTCCCAGACCAAAGTACAGGGCAAACAGTTAAATATGCCTTCAGATAAATAATGAATATTTTCTAGTATAAGTATGTCTAATGCAATATTTGGGGTCTACTCATACTGAATGTATGAATTTTTATCTAAAATGCAATTAACCAGGCATCATGTATTTTATCTGTGCTATTTCTACCCATTAAGAGCTCTCAAGGTTTCCCTCAAGCTGTTTGAAAATAATTCTTGTATGTCAGCAACCCAGTAGCTGAGATGATCTTAGCAGTCTTTCATTTCATTTGCCTATATGTTCATTTTATACTGTACATTATCTTCAAGCAAACTATTGAGAGTCTTATGACAACTGTTTTGCCTCAGGAGGATCACTTTTGCTTATGAACCTCTAATAAGAATGTTTTCCAAAGTGCAGTATATTTCAGTTTTCTAAACAACAGTATGTGCGGCTGCTGACAGTGTAAGAGGGCTTTGGGTGTGGGGCTCAGAGCCTACAGAATTCTGAGCAGTCTTAAAATAGACACAAGATGAGATGAAGTCTTCTGAACCTCATCAGCCACCATGCTTGCACAACTGTCTTACATAAACAATTCCTGGTCCCTCTTCCTGGTTGGAATCTTGGCACTAGGCCTGCCAGCTTTCTCCACTGGTCCATCCCCATCTGGGGCGGGCCTGCTCCCTTCCCTGCTTCTGGGGCTCTAGCCCACTCCATACGGACAAGCATCTTTAAGATGTCTGGTGACAGGCACAACACCAATGGCCTACCAGACTTAGCGAATAGAAGCTGGCCCAAAAGCCCAGAGGGGTAATCTAATGTGGAGGCTACAATGGAGATAGCCTCAGACATTGAAATGAGCTTGAAATTGACCAGAGATGGTGGCAGAACTGGAGATGGTCATGGCCCCAGCCATGTCAGCACAGAAAGTCAAGACAGAGATGCAGAAAGTTCAAGTGAATACATCAACTGGGAAAGCATGGAAGATGCTGACCATTTCTTCAGTAATGAAAAATTCTTCCAGTACCACTTAAAAGTCAAAGAACTAGGAGAGGAAATAGAGATGGAGGTGGAAGAGGGAGAATAAGAGCAGCCCCAGGTACAGTGCAATGAAGCCAACCCTGATGGGCATTTATCAGATGAGGAACAAACCCTGAAGTACTGGGTGTCCTCCGAGACATGTGCCCCGCCTCACCCCCACTGGCGAGTCCTTACTACTCTTCAAGAGCAGCAACTAGGTTCAAGGCCCCGCTTTATATATGAGGCCTGTGGGGCAAGAGTCTTTGTGCAGCATTTCCAACTGCAGTATGAGCTTAAAGGCCATAATGGTTGGGTCAATACTGTGCACTTTAACCAGTGTGGCACCTGGCTGACTAGTAGCAGTGATGATCTTAGAGTGATAGTGTGGGGCTGGGTGTGCCAGCAGCCAGTACTGGCTTTTGAGAGTGGCCACACAAATAATGTCTTCCAAGCCAAGTTCCTTCCCAACTGTGGCGATTCCACCCTGGGCATGTGTGGCTGTGATGGGAAGATCCAGATCGCAGAGCTGCCGGCTATTCCACACTGCAAGAATACTAAGTATGTGGCCCAACACAGGGGAGCCTCCCATAAGTTGGCTCTTGAGCCAGACTCCCCTTTTAAGTTCCTAACTTCAGGGGAAGATGCAGTCGTTTTTACCATTGACCTCAGACAAAGACCACCAGCTTCAAAAGTGGTGGTAACAAAAGAGAGAGCGAGCACAAAATAGGGCTGTATACAATCACTGTGAATTGTGCCAATATGTATCAATTTGCAGTGGGTGGACAAGATCAATTTGTAAGAATTTATGAGCAGAGGAAAACTGATGAGAGGGGAAATAATGGAGTACTTAAGAAATTCTGTCCTCATCACTTGGTTAACTATGATTCCAAAGCAAAGATCACCTGCCTTGTATACAGCTACAATGGCACAGAGCTCTTGGCCAGTTACAATGATGAAGATATTTTTCTCTTCAATTCCTCCCACTGTGATGGGGCCCAGTACGTTAAGAGATACAAGGGGCACAGAAATAATGCTGCACTCAAAGACATCAGTTTCTATGGCCCCAGAAGTGAGTTTGTGGTGAGCAGTAGTGATTGCGGGCACATCTTCCTTTGGGAGAAATCATCCTGCCAGATCGTTCAGTTCATGGAGGCGAACAAGAGAGGTACCATAAACTGTCTGGAACCCCATCCTTACCTACCTGTGTTGGCAACCAGTGGCCTAGACCTTGATGTCAATATCTGGGCCCCCACAGCTAACACTACCACTGAGCTTATTGGGTTAAAGGATGTGATTAAGAGGAACAAGCAGGAATGAGATGAAGATTTCTTACACCATAACAACCTGTATGACAGCCACATGCTCTGGCTCTTCAGACATCGACTGGCACAGAGAGGTCATCGCCAGTGCTGAGGAAACCCTGGAGACGGGGTCATTGGTACAGACTGGGAAGTGTCTTTCAGTATCTCAGATACATCCCAGGAGAGAGAGAGCCAAAACCATGTGCAGTGCCTGCCATCCTGAGGTCTCATACCTGCTCCAGCTAGATGTCACCTCAATAGGCTGGACTTCAGTTTAACTAATAGATTTGGCTTTTGCCGCTTTTATGTTTTCCTCATCCCTTCCATCTCCTTCCTCTATTTTATTTCTGTCTTTCCTCAAATTCTTCCCTCATTCCTCTTCTCTCAATTGGTTTCTTTACTTCTGTTTCTTACATCTAGCAATAGTTTATGCCAATAAACTTTTCCTTTGTTCTCTTATGGTTGATCTCTGAAGGTCTCTAATTCATGTACACATATGTGCACATGCACACACACATACACACACTCTCTCTCCTCAGAGAAAAAGAAAAGGCAGGTAAAGGTGGGTAGATCAAGTCCTAACAAGATAATTCAACCCTCTAGCACAAATAACTTGGGGTTGTCTGCATTTTCTGAATCCCTATGTTGATATTAATTAATTTGAGTAGATAGAGGCTGGTAAGAATTAAACTTAATCACATGACATTGTTTACTCTGCACTTTCAATTCTCTTGAAGTTTCACAGATGAGAACTCTCACAGGACTACCTTCCAGGAAGTCCTCCTGGAACAGCCATCTCTTATAAGATAATAGCCAGGAATATAAGAATTCCTAATATTTGAGAATATATATTTGAACTAACTTTAAGAATAACTTAATGTTGCAAGAGTTATTTATACTTAAAGATAATTGTTTGATATTAGTGGAAGAAATATCCTATTAGACATCCATGCATTGCTTAAAATTCTCCTTGGCTGTTGATAACAGTTTAAATTGCTTTTTAAAATATTTTAAGCCTTACTTAATGGTAATTTTGGGACGTTGGATGTCTATGTTCATTAGTAATACTGATTTTTGTTTAACACCCATTATTTGTGTAAGCGTATGCAGAGCCTTGCCTTCCCCCCAGTACCTCGGCTTCCTTTGATCATACTCCTTAAGATGGATTTTATCTCAGGTCCCTTGAAAGCAGGTTGAGAAACTTAACATAATGAAATTACACTTTGGAATGGAAAATAATGACCAACGGTCCTGCTTGCTGAGATTCAAAGTTAGGGACAACTGTCTGGGGGCCTGGGGCAACCCCTACCAAAGTCTGCTTTCAAGAAAGGACCGTAGAAGTCCCAAAAGAACCCCATGAGTCTGAATTAAGCCTTGGGTTTAAAACAGGACATACAGGGAACAGTTACCAACTAGAATCCCAAGTGTGGGGCAACTACACAATTGTGTGGGGTGTATACCAACAACAACAAAGCATTGAGAAAACATTTGGAATTTCTAGTGACACTGGGTGGCTGTGAGAACAATGGCAGGAGAGGATTCATTATCCAGTTTTTTTCCCCTGCTGTTTGGAAGCAGGTCCACTTCTGTGGGGGACGTGTACCATGAACTAAAACTTTTGTCAGAGTTCCCTGCATGTTTCTGAGATTGTGCTGTAACAGGCATTTGGAGAGAGAATTGGAAAGCAAAGTTCAAATAGCAGCCATAGTAGTTTTATACTCAGGAACTCAGGGCAGTGGTACGTTGTTCCTTACCTGCTGCTGTCTTCCCTTAGTGTGAGGCAGCAGCTGGGCCCCCAGCTACAACAGCTCCCCCGCGTGTCTTCCTTCAGCTTCACCAGCTCCAGTGCTCACTTCTGCAGGGCGCTCATGTCGTCCGAGTTGGAGGTTTGGAGGCGGTGAAAGATCAACACAGGTCCCAGTCTGTCATTGTGGGTTCCTGCTATTCCTCATGGATTCCAGTCTATCCTTGCCCACCCCATTTCACATCCATCTCTCCTTCCTGAAATCTGTGCTGACTTTAGGCTCCAGGACCTGAAGTAAAGACAGAAGCTTTATGAGGACCACTTAACCAACCAACTCCCACAACCACATGCTATCAGGTGCCTGTTGTAAGCAACCCCTTTTATGTATATCACCCCAGGATTTCTGTTTCTGTTAGAACCCTGACTGATATAACCACCCCCACCTGCTTTGAACTGAGTAAATCCCCAGATTACTTGGAGAGAGTGACATTTTTGAGGAACAAAAGTCCTCTAAAGAGAGATTGGACTTTAGATAGGGAGTCGAATAACTAATTTGTAAAGTTATGATTATAGGTGAAATGGATGTTAATTGCTACAATTTTAATTTATGCAAATATTGGTCCTATTAGCATATAGAAGAGAGCAATACAATATCACCATCAGCCTTCCATGAGATGGCAGGCAAAGCTAACAATTCTGTCATATGAGCAGGCAAAACTGCACCTTTAAATTGACTTTTTCAGCACCAATTATTTTCATTCCAATACGGAATGTCTGCAGGATAGTTCTGTGTAGGCCCTCATGGCCTTTATACAATATTATAATTGTCTCCTAATTATGCACAGAATTTATCTGCATAAAGCTGTGACAGATACCAAAGTATACTTTTAAAAAGACCTCTTCTGGCATACATTCCTTAAAAGGGCAGGTGTGGAAAAGAATAGACATGGAAAAAATATGTAATGGAGCCTAATTGCTAAATGGCAGGCCAAAATCTTTTTGGTGAGTTGTTAGTTTGACAGCGACCTTCAGCACTGCTCATGCTACCATGTTGTGAGCCAAAAGCAAATGCAATAAATTTACTCAGACTGGATCTCAGCCATCCTGTGATCAACTTCTATGAACTCCACTCTCTTAATTTACCTTGACTTCAGTCTCTTCAACAGTAAAATAGAAGGTTTACATTTTTAGACTTAGTTCTTAGAGACTTATGGAGCACTTAATATGTATTTCTCTCCTAAACAGTGAGAGTTCAGAGATGGATGTATGACAGTCCAGGTTCACTAGGAGCTAGATACAGATACTCTAGTCTCAGGCTATGTTCTGGGTCTGGGATACTTTTATTGGTAGGGGCTAGAAGTTTCCTGTCCCTCTGTTTTATTCAAAGTACAATGTTTATTTTTCTTTACAGCTTTGCAGCCTCTTTATTCCAAACCCATTATTTAAGCAACCATTTACGGAAATGAGATACACATATACTATCCAGAATACTCGTGTCATTTCTCAATTGTTCTTCATAAAACCCATATTAAGATGGACAACAGAAAACTTAAGTTCAGAGAAGTTAACTTTCTAAAGTTATTGAGCTAAGAGGTGCAGAGTAGGATCTCAAATAGAACTTACAACTGAATGAATCCTACAAATAGTAGTGCATAATATAGTTGTTTTGGTGCACGGTAATTTGGCTTAATTGACAGGAGAAATTGAGACTCCACATCTCAAGATTCTTCTGTGACATATAAGAGTCACCTTTCATCTCACGTTGGACTTCTGTCAGCTATATGGCAGTTATGTTAGCAACTCAAGCCTCTGAAATTGAATTGTAGGCCTCTGAGGAGAAAGCATAAAACAGCAACAACAATGAGCCACAGAAAAAAAAAACAACGAAATATAAAAACAGTACATCCTAGAGTAGGTACAGTAATTCTAGGCTCAGCTACACATTGATCTGGGGGACATTACCTGAAAAGCTTTCTGGTTATGAATCTCTGTCTAGAATCAAATTCAAATCACAGCTGAGTCTCAGCAATTGGTTCTTTTGATTCTTTTGCTAAAAAGCTATAATGACCAAGATAGTCTAGGGACTATCTTCCTCAGCTGACAGTTTGGTCCAACAGTGTGAAGGACTGAGACCTATGAAAGATAATCATTAAGATCTTGGGTCATATAGAGAAGCCTTTCTTTTTTACAGTGAGTTGCTAAGAGAGAGATTTGGGCCTTAAGGGTTACCTTCGTAAGACTAGTAATTGGTGATTGATAGTCACACTCATGAAAATTTTTTTCAACTTGCCATTATGAATTCTTGATGAGTAAGGGTAAAAAAAAATTTTTTTTTTGAAATATAGCAATATACTTAGTTTAACATCACCAGATATAACCAAACATTTTGGGGCAAAGATTTTGTTCCACATGCTTTCTTGTAGTAGTTCCTTCTCAAAAAAAGTCTCTATAGAATTTTAGGGTGATGGCACTACTCTGTGTGGTGCTGGAGTGGTGGATATATAAGTCAGTGCATTTGTCCAAATTAACAGAACTGTACATCAGAAAGAGTAAACTTTAATATATGCAAACTAAAAGAAATTCAACCTATATGTCAGGGGATCTCAGAATGGAATACACACTGTGACAAACGAATCAAACTCTGCTACGAATCTGTAACATAACCTCAATGAAGGAGATGGAAGAAAAAGAAGTTGGCTAAATAACTGTCAAATGGTGGTTCAAGAACGACTGTAAGGCTAAAGACAAAAAGAACTGTACATAAAAACTGTACTCTAGTTGGCGTATTTGTTTCTCACAAAGATTCAAGGAATAATTCTCAACCTGCTTTACATATACATCTTGGTTTGAATAAAGTAAATGGTGAGGACCAAGTTTCTTATTGTCAGAGAGAGAAATTATAGATAACCAAGAAGGGGAGGCTAGATGAACTCAGCAGCAATGACTTAAGAGTTGGAGATAACAGTATGAATTCACAGGTCAGCATAACATATATATAGATGGGGAAATGCAGAAATAATTAGAGAAATGTGAGCAACCACAGGTTAGTGTACTGACATATATTTCATAGTCTCTTCACTGAGAGGACCTGGGAACAGTGACACTCCAGTAGTAGTGAGCACTACCAGCACCTGTCTCTGGATTTCTAACACTAGAAATGAATGAAATGAACCAGGGATCCTTAGAGAAATGGCTGATCTTACTTCTGGGGCAGAGAATACACAAGATAAACCTGGGGTATCTTGTAGTGTCAGAGGGCAAGGAAGAGGGATGAGGGTATAATCAAAGTGACACATGAGACAACAGACAGTTCCCAATGGCCAAAGCCGGAACAGTGTGACCAGAAAAGCCACAAGTAATATGGCATT